TCCCTGTCCCTCTTGAACTGGGGAGCCCAAAACTGGACACAGTATTCCAGTTGTGGCCTCACCAGTGCCGAGTAGAGGGGGAGAATGACCTCCCTCGACCTACTGGCCACACTCTTCCCTATGTAGCCCAGGATTCCATTGGCCCTTTTGGTGACAAGGGCACCTTGCTGGCTCATGGACAATTTCCTGTCTACCAGGACCCCCAGATCTTTCTCCTCAGAACTACTTCCCAGCAGGTCCACCCCTAACCTATACTGGTGGGATAGTTAGTTTGCTACATGCATTTACATTCATTCCAGTGTAACCCTTCTTGTTGTGTGTAGGTGAATAATACGTGTTTTAAGTTACATGAAAGTTAGAAGCAGAGCTGCAAAGAGGATTGATGAGATCTTGGAATTTTGAAACTTCTTTGGAAAGAACCTGCACAGTTTGTTTCCAAGCAGTGTTAATGTCTGTCTGTGTCAGCGGGTGAGTTATGGCATTATTGACTGGATGTATTTACTGGGGTCTCTTGTGCTGTGTTGCAGGTGAACTGATTAACCTTGCTATGTATTGTGAAAGAATAAGGAGGAAATTTTGGCCAGAATGGCACCATGATGATGATAACACTCTGTACGAATCTGAGGAAAGCAGTGAAGCAAGCAAGACTTACTCCCCTTTGCAGGACTTCAGTTTTTATTCAAGGACAGAAACATTTGATGAGGAAGGGAACAGTATTTCGCAAACCCCTGACACAGATTACACTGGACACTCCCTCTTTGATTCGGATGTGGACATGGATGACTACAGAGATCATGAACAATGCAAGTGATGCGTACAAGCATCTCCCATTTTGCAGACAAGCTATTTCTTGGGATCAGTCTGATTTATTTTCTCCTCCAGGTTAAGAAGAGGTTTGTACCACTTTGGAAGAGACCGTTGTGCTTGACTCAGATGTCACATGCTACCTGGGCTATTTCAACCTTAATTCATTTTGTGTAACTGTTCAGGTGAAACCAAGGTAAACAGTTATTTAAAACACACATGGGCAAGCTGGAGTTCCAGAGGGCAACAGGACCTTTCAATCTACATTTTTGTTCGCATTCAAAACCAGGTCCTACAACCAGGTGGGACAGACGTTCAGGAAGTGGAGCATTTGTCAGAGCTGGTGTGTGCTGATATTTTATCTTTACAGGGATGGGTTGAGGACGAAAATGGAAGAGGCATGACTGGCGCACTTTTCTCCCGTGGAAGAAAATGATTGATGCTGTATTGATTTGGCAGAGTTTCGGGGGGATTTTATTTGATAGCTACCCACACTCTAGATATATATGCTACTACAGTGTCTGCAGGAAGGAACTACTCCCAGTTCTTTCGGAGACAGTTAAGGAAAGCAGGAGGAAAACATATTCCTACAGAAAGGAGCTTTTTAGTGTTTCTTGCTTTTTGCAGAAGATTGAAATCGCTATTCTTGAATATTTTTATTCAGAAGGGAAATGTCATTTTTAATGTATAACCTCCCAGACACTCATCTGGAATGTATGTTTCTTCTGTGTTTTTGAATTAATATTACATTTTTACTTCCTGCCACTGGCTTTGTCTGCTATTGCTAGGCAAGGCTAAAGAACTGGGATTTGTTACTAAAAGTGCAGTGTGTCTCAGCAGCGGGTGCTTTGTGCCCTTTACCAACACACACGTCAAACCCATGAAGCTTGCAAAGAGGTTTGGGGTGTTTGTAGGCGTGGGATGCTGTGTAAATACAAGATGTTGGCCTACGCAATCAAATGCTGTAGAGCTGCCTAGGAAGGTGCTTCAGTGGGTGCTGGCTTACAGTGCCCAGTCCCTAAAGCCGGTGCGCGGGGAGGCAGTTGAGATGGGACAGCTGCATCAGCACTGCCGTCTGTGGCGATTTCTGAGTGCTGAAAGCATGACCAGAATTGATTTTAAGGTGCCTTTGCTAGCACATCCGTGAATCTGGAACCCCAAATCCGGAATGATTGCTCAGGTGCTGACATGCTTCGTGTTCATGCCTCCCTAAATGGGGGTTAGAGGTGAGAATGAATCCATTGGATTTACTCACCAGTTTGAAGGTAAGCATGTACATCAATGTTGCTTGGCCATGGCTAGTTGGTTTTAGGTAGAGATAAGGCATCCAGGACATAACGGCAGCTGTGGTATTTGTAAACATGCAAATAAAATTGGATATTTGCTTGCGGACTTTGGTAGTGGCCCATTTAAAAATATTTTTAATTATGACTTCCTCAGTGAGTTACAGTTAGATGAATCACCATCCCTCAGCAAAATTTTTATAATGTGTTGGTTGTGCCATACGTTCTGGGAGCAGACAGGGCGGACAACTGCTTTAGGATATTAATTGTTGGTAGTTCTAATAGTCTGGATCTTGAAATAACTCCAGCTTTCAAAGAATACCTCTCTTTCTTAGATCGTGGAGTGTGTCCTGCAGAGGACAGCGCTTGCTCTGGGGAAACACCGAGCTAGCTGTGGCTCTGAAAGCAGGGGGACACAGGTCTGCGGTGAGTTCCTGTGTCTCTTTGTGCATGGGAGCCACCACAGCGACAGCTGACAAGTTTGGGGTGGTCTGAGATGAGTGTGAATGTGCACCTGTTTCATCAATTCCCCAAGCGTGTCCTTGGAGCCATGTTCCAGTCAATGATTTCTGTTGTTGTGGGCAAGTATCATTTACAAAGTGAACCAAAACCAAGAAGGAGGAATGTATCATCCACTTACTTGGGACCTTTCTTAGGAAACTAAGCACAGGAATAGAGCACAAAAAGATCAGTCTTGGGCTTGAAAGCACAGAGGTGATGGCCTGAAATGCCTGTGAAACTTCATAGCCAAGTCAGGGCAGATTCTACCTGCAAAGATGTGGGCATTGGTATTCCGGATAAAAGGCATCCATGTCAAAAAGCTCCTCTTTAAAAACATTGGTGTGTTGGAAATTCTGGTGGAGATGTTCTCATTCATTTACGCATGCGTGTTTGAAGGCTGTGCTTTCTCCATCTTTTAAGCATTGGGAGGGTGTGCTTGCAGGTATGGAGGCTCCTGCTGACAGCAGATGAGTCCCAGCTACGAGTCATGGTTATTAAAAGACCAGCCTGAGTTCAGCAGACACTGTTACTTTTATAATTTCTGTGGGCTGACAGATAAGTCAGTGACAGCGGCTCTTGTGACATCCCAAAACGTGGATTAACGAGAAGTCAACGATGTCATTTTACCCTCACATGTGTGTGCAGCCAGATTTGGATTTTGCATGGCTGGACACAGAGATGGGAGATGCCAATGCAGTGCACAGTTGGTGTCGTGCCACAGCTCTATTCTCCCACCGGCAGCACCACAGCATGCTTGTTGCATGCCTGCCTTTTCTGAGGGACTACTTGGGTTACTTTAGAGAAGTTAGTTGGGAGAAGTTGGCTTTCTCCTTGTGACAGCTCCTCTTGATAAAGTCTGCGTTTCTGTGTTTGGTTGTGTTTCAAACTAGAGGTGAAAATAGGAAAGGGCATCTCGTTAGGAATTTATAGGTATAGTATTTTGTCCAGGTTTGATAGGCAATCCTTGGGTTTATTTACCCCTTCCGGAGGCAAATACTGACTGTTAGACCTGTTTAAAAGGATTGATCCAAAGTTTTTTCTTTTGGAAGCTGGTCTTAGTAAAGAGTTCGAGGGGAAAAAAAAAAAGTTTTTTAAAAAAAAGCTTTTTTTTTTAACATCTGTGAAAAAGTGTTAATTCATTTTGGTTTGCATGGGGAAAGAGAAGATGAGTTTTCTTCAAAAAAACACAACAGATTTTTTGACTTTCCAAAATTCTACTAGAAGAGCAATATTTTCTTAGTCTTGCAGTGTTTTGGTTGGTTGGCTTCTCCCCCACTCCCTATGCCTTCTATCATCTCTATATTTTATCTTAGTGCTGAGGGGCCATACAGAACTAAAAATAGCTGAAATAGTGGGAGAGCACCTTTATTTCATCTTGGTGGGGGTTTGTTTGGTTTTTTTTGTTGGTTTTTTTTTTTTCATTTTTTCTCCCTCACTGATCAAAATTGCAAGCAAGCAAGTCTGTCGTAGGGATGCCAGAGGTCCTTGCTGTGCTGCTGCTGAAGGTCAGGGACATCAGGTGTCTGCAGCAGTGAAACCTGGAACAGCCACAGGGTGCTGAACCCCCGGTGGGTTAGCTGGGATGGCCACTTCAAGCTGGAGGGCGATGGATGCCACGATGTCATGTATGAGGTGACATGGGCCACAAAAGGTTTTTCCCGTGCTGGGAGTCGTGCTGCTGCAGCCAGACACTCATTGTGTGGTGATGTTAGGAAGGATTCTGGGACCCTTGTCACAAGAGTCAGATATCCGTGAGGTCTCTGAGAGCATCATAGCTGCCAGTGCCAAACCTGGTCGTGGTCCCTGCTGCAGCCCTGGGCTAGTTTCTAGTAGATGGCAGTATGTGGTCCTGGCAGGAGGAAAGCTACCTTGGGGCTCCTCCACGCTGTCTGTCCCCTCCCAAAATACGGCAGGGGGCCCTTGGATATCAGGGAAGGAGGCAGCGGGTGGGAGGGGAGAGGGTGGGATGTGGGCAGGGTGCCAAGTGGCAAGTTGCCACAGGAGGACTCGCTGAACCTGTGGCCAAACTAACGCCACTGTTGCAGCGGCTGGGTGGGAGCCCTGCCCCACTCATGAGCTGGAGCATGACCCCTCATCCCAGTGAGGAGACAGCACGGTTCCTCATGGTTATTTTACCTTAAATACTGCCAAAGGTTGAGTACTGCCTTTGTTTCCATAGTGCTGCTTTAAGAGAGTGGATGATTGGTCTGCTCCTTGTTTGCCAAATGGGAGTTTAAAGCAAGCCCTGCATTTCCATTAGAATTAGATTTGAAGCAGTCTGTTGTTTTTTTCATGTGAATTGCAGTGTTTGACTGTGTAACACTTTGTCATGTCAGAAGGGATTTGTTTACCCCTCTTGGACTCATTGGCTCTGTCAGCAGAGCTCACTGTTACCGAGAGGGAGAAACAGACGCCCGGATGTATAGGTCCTACAGAAATCCTACAAATGTGGTGCTTGATTTAAAAACCAAACCAAACCCGATGTTTCAGATCTGGAGGACTGTTCCCATCCAATTATAACACTGCAAGTCACACATTTTGATCTTTAAAACCTTGGCAATGTCCCTCCAGATCTATATTCTCTTTGAAAAAATATTGCCTGAAATATTTCTGCAGCAACAGTTCAGGCACAAATTTCCTTTTGTCAGTGATGTCTGCTCAAGTAATCGTGACAGTTTCATACTGTTTTCATTGAAAGGGCTGTATCTGTCAGATACTAAGCCTTACAAAATATTGCCTGCTGGAAAAGTGTGTTATGTGCAGATTTATGCAGGGCAGCTCACCAAGTGAAATTTCTGTGGCAGGGGATGAATTCAAGTGTATCTTGTCCTTAGATGTTTGAATAAGAATTCAAATCTGTTTTCTGACAAGTAACTGTTTAGCCTACCCCTCCCCCATCCCCAAATACTGCAAAATTATGAATTAGGCATGTGATCGAAATAAAGCAAATTATGCCCTCTAAATGCAGAATTACAATGGACAGCCCAGTATCTGGCATATGGAAATGCATATATATAGATAGATAGATATATTTAGCTTAGGTGTGAGTTGTGCCATACATGTCCGTGGCTGTCATCTGGAAGGACCACCCAAGTAATAGTGCCTAATCCCGTGGACCAAGAGGACTAGAGGTACCTTTGAATGACTGCAGTGGTTTTCAGCAGTTGATTAGCGCTTAGGTATTCCTGTATGCTGTGCTACGCTTCGGGTATTCATTAGTGCT